TGATATTGTAAAAGTGACGGAGAGCGGGGACAATGATCTTTCGATGTTTGAAACAATTAATTACTTAATGAGTGATTCCAAAAAATATCCATACCCTACCACAAGCCTGCAAAGCATTTTTGTCTATAAGCAGGTCATTTGTCAGGCCAAGGACAAGTTTTGACCTGACAAAAAGCACGTCTGGTCAGACAAAAGTTTTTGTTTGTTGTCAGAAATTAAAAGAGACATTTGAGACATTTTGGTATGTCATTGTAGACCCTTCGTCAAAATGTTGGTTACAAATTTGAATGGCTTAAAAGTAAAGACAACTGAGTGCAAAATCAATACCACCATTACAAAGAGGACCTTTAAATTAAGTCAAGTATTATTTTCCCCGCTGGAAAGTGACAAATTTACAAACGTTTGCACTCCTTAAGTTTACCTTCACTCACTCGATCACATGTTTATTCCGTATTTTCCTGCATATCAAGTTTCTCACAACATTTAAGGTAAACCATGGGAAAATCACGTGTGGACAGCTTGTCAGAAGAGTATAAAGTTCTCAATAACATTCAGAAATGTGAAAATTGGCTGAAATGAATTCTTCAACTTTTTCTGAGGGCAAGTTTCCCCTGAAAATTTTCAGGGTCAATTGAATAAAAAAATTACATAATTAAATGAAATTTGAATTGGAAGTGGTCGTGACTACAAAGCGTCACTAATTTGTACAGTCAAGTCTTTCACAAAAACATCTCTGTGGCACGGAAACTAATTCTAGCTATATTGAACCACACACATAACACAACTTTAAAGAGCTATAAATCAAACTGATTTTTGAACATATGGACTACAATAACACTTGGTTACGTTTTAGAGGTTTGTGAGAGCGACTGCATTCAGATAAACAAAACGTGAGAATTTAGGCCGTGTATCCAATTTGCACATTAAATAATATTTTAATTGGGTCAAATAATCCCACCACACTTGCAGATAACAAACAATGAGTAACAAAATAAGCCCTCATATTTTAGTAGTTTTTCAGACGAATGTAATTCAGACTAAATGGGGCTTCACGATCTTTCACGACACCACCTCAAAACGCGTAAATTAAAAAGTAGCCTGAATAGTGGCGCTGATGTGATGTGAGACGACGTATTGCACAAGATTATTTCTCAGAAATGGAAAAACAAAACTGATAACAAGGCTTTTTTGCATAGTATTGTTAGGCAGTATAATAAAATAACTTGTTCCATATTTGGCAACAAATTTCCAGTTAAAATATTTTTCATTTAGCAGAAATGCGTGGTCAGAGTGCCCAACCAGGTTAAGCTTTTACCTGTCAAATCCGATGACCGACTGTTATTTGCAGGTTTGCTACCACAGGCAGCATCAGTATCTGAACCCTCCTTCCTTGAGAAATTCCAAAGCACATAGCCCCTCCTTGCCCTCAGAATTCCAAACTGTTCATCCCCGCTCCATGCCTTTGGAATTCCATACTCATTCAAACTCCCCTTACAAATTTCTGCTTTTTCTTTCCAACATATTTAATTCAAGCGCACAAAGCGTCTCTGATATTTCATGACTGTGCAAAGCTATAATGCATCAGTCAATTCCAGCAGTGCCCATCACCCCCCCCCCCCCCCCCCCCCCCCCCCCCCC